GGGGGGGGGGGGGGGGAGTTTGCGCCCCCTACTTATGTCTTCGGCAAGCTGTGCAGGCAGTGTAGACTCTGGGCCAATCACATCAACATCACCTGGGAGCTTGTTAGAAACGTCAGTTCTCGGGTCCTGCCCTCTACCTACTGAATCAAAGACTGTGGGGGAGGGACACAGAAACCTGTTTTAACAAGTCCTCCAGGGCATTCTGCTATCTTGAGAACCGATGTTTTCAGAGGTTTGAGAACTCTGGCTTTGTGGTTATGAGCACAAATTTCAGAGCTGGCCACAAATCCCCGTCAGCCACTTCCTCGAGTAACTTACTTAGCTCTCTGAGACTCAGTGTCTTGATTTGGGAAATGGGGCTACGGCTAGGATCTCTCCTTCATGGATTTGGTTGAGAAGCTTAAGAGAGTGAATGTGTAAAGCAGGTAGGAACTTGGCACACTATAAGCAGTCAGTATGCACTTGGCTCGTGTCATTTCTTTTTGGAAAGTGTGGTGGCTTCTTGACATGCCCCAGTGCCTACTTTTTGAAAGACTGTCAGTTGTGTTTTAGCCTGTTGGGAAGTTTTCCACTTAAGTTGTGTGTGTGTGTGTGTGTGTGTGTGTGTGTGTGTGTGTGTGTGTGTTGTTTACATGTCATTGTTTGCTGTTCGTTGATACTCGCTTTATCCAGCGAAGGTTCCTTGCTCCTGCCACTCTCCTCTGAATAAGAAAGGTATTTCTCTGTGTGGCCTGAATAATTCTTCTTAAAGGGGCGCCTGGGTGGCTCAGTGGGTTGGGCGTCCGACTCTCGATTTCGGCTTGGGGTCATGTTCGTGAGTTGGAGTCCCGCATCGGGCTCTGCGCTGACAGATGAAGAGCCTGCTTGAGATTCTCTCTCCACACCTCCCCCACTTGCTCTCCGTATCTTTCTCAAAACGAATAAAAATACACTTTAACAAAAAGAATTCCTCTTAAATAACACTGCAGGCGAGGATGCTTTCCATGTGCATAGCGTGGTATTCTTTTGGCAGCTGTACCTACAGATGTTACAGCCAGGATTTCTGGCCTTTCTGCTGCCTTCCTTTATGTACCTTTCCTCCTTGTTTCATTCTAAAGATCCTCTTTTCTGAAAACCATTCTGCTTCATTTGGCTAATTCTCCATCTACTTCCCTTAAAGCTTCCATGCAGAAGTGCCTTCAAGTAGCTACTTTTTTAAAAAACAGATAAACACCAAAAATACACCCTCACGCATGCGGTCAAGTGATTTTTGACAAAGGTACCAAGACCATTCAACGGGGGAAGAACAGTCTTTTCAACAAAGAGCGCTGTGAAAAGTGGCTATCACGTGCAAAAGAACAAAGTGGGGCCCTTATCTCAAACCGTATACAAAAATGAACTCAAAATGGATCAAAGCTCCTAAACACAAGAGCTAACGCTCTAAAACTCTTCGAAGAAAATGCAGGGAGAGATCTTCAGGACATCAGATTTGGCAGCGGTTTCTTGGATAAGACAGCAAAAGCACAGGCAAAAAAGTAAACAGAGATCAATTGGACTTCGTCAAAATTAAGACCTTTAGTGCATCAAAGCGCACTATTAAGACAGTGAAAAGATAACACAGAGTAGGAGAAAATAGTTACAAATTGCATTATCTGGTAAAGGATTTAATATCCAGAGTATAAAAAGAACTCTTGAAACTCAACATCAAAAAACTCCCAAACAACCCAATTCAAAAATGGGCCAAAGGTTTTAGTAGCGGCTTCTCTAAAAACACATCTATATTATGTCCACTGAGCACATGAAAGATGCTCCCCATCACTAATCAGTAAGGAAGTGCAAATCAAAACCACAATGAGATACCGTTTCGCACCCACTATCGGCACAGCAGGAAACAGGAAGTGTTGGTGAGGATACAGAATCCTTGTGCCCTGCCGGGAGGAATGTAAAATGTAGTGCCACTGTGGGAAACAGTGTGGCAGAGCCTCAAAAAGTCAACCACAGAATCACCATATGATCCGGCAATTCCACTGCTAGGTTTATGTACCCAAAAGGATTGAAAGCATGGACTCAAACTTGTACTTGTACACCAATGTTCATAGTAGCATTATTTACAGTAGCAAAAGGTGGAAATACCCCAAATGTCTATCCACGATGAATGGATAAACAAAATGCGGTCTACGCACACAATGGAGTACTATTCAGCCTTAAAAAGGCATGCGGTTCTGATACATACTACAACGTGGATGAACCCTGGGAGCATGCTAAGTGAATCAGCCAGACACAAAAGGACAAATATTATATGATTCCACTTATATGAGGTACCTAAATGACAAATTCATAGAGACAGAAAGAACAGAGGTTACCAGGAACTGAGGGGAAAGGGAATGGGGAGTTACTGTTGAACACGTACAGAGTTTCGGGGCGCCTGGGTGGCTCGGTCGGTTAAGCATCCGACTTCAGCTCAGGCGCCGATCTTGCGGTGCGTGGGCTCGAACCCCTCGTCTGGCTCTAGGCCAACAGCTCAGAGCCTGGAGCCCGTTTCGGATTCTATCTCTCCCTCTCTCTCTCTCTGCCCCTCCCCGGCTTGTGCTCTGTCTCTCTCAAAAATCAATAAACAGTAAAAAAAGAAACACGTACAGAGTTTCTAACTGAGATGACGAAATGTTCTGAAAGTAGATAGTGGTGATGGCTGCACAAAACTGTGAATATATTTAATGCCAATGGTTAAAGGGTTAAAATGGCAAGTCTTATGCTTATTTTGCAGCAAAAAAATAAATTCTAAGTAAACACACATTACAGAGATAGAACGGGGAAAAAATGGAAAAAAAAAATTTGAAAAGCAGGCACCTTACCTTCCAGGGATGTAACCAGAACAACATGAAGACAGATGACGGTAAGAAATATCTTGAACAGCAGTAGAAGTTCTTCGGGTCTGCCAGCATGGCCACACTGCCTGCCACAGAAAAACATCCTGGAATAAAATAAGGGGAAAACATCATCATCACAGCATGCCATAATCACAACACAGAAATACCCAAGAGGTCAGTTACTTAACCAAGGCAAACTGCAATCCTGCTTCCTTTAAATTACTCTGGTTCCAGAGAACTGGCAATGCCAGCCGGGCAGTGGCTACAAAAAGCAAAACCTATATTGATTATGGGAAGACCACCCAGTGGGATATCGTATTACATTCAAAATTATTTTAAAAAACAGGGGCACCTGTGTGGCTCAGCCGGTTAAGCAGAGGACTTTCAATTTCGGCTCAGGTCATGATCTCATGGTTGGTGGGTTTGAGCCCTGCGTCGGGCTCTGTGCTGATGGTACAGAGCCTGCTTAGGATTCTCTCTCTCTCTCTCTCTCTGCTCCTCCCCCACTTTCTCTCTCTGTCTCTCTCTCAAAATAAATAAATAAGCTTTAAAAAAATATTTGAAAAACAAAAACCAGAAACAGACGCACAAATGCAGAAAACAAGCTCGTGGTTGCCAAAGGTGAGGAGACAGGCAAAGTAAGTGGCAGGGATTAAGAGGGACAAACTTCCAGTTATGAAATAAATAAGTCACGGGGATGAAAGGTATGGCATAAAAAACAGAGACACTGTAATAAATTTGTATGGTGTCAGAAGGTAACTACACTGAACCATGGGGAGCATTTCATCGTGTACAGAATTGTCAAATCACTAGTTGTACACCTGAAACTAATAGAAAGAATATTGCCTGTCAACTATACTTCACTTAAGACTGCGATTTTTTAAAAAGATAGGCAAGGTAGTCCCTGTGAATTTATGGAAAACTTCAATTCATGCAAGATATTAAGAGAAGAAATTAAAAACACAAAACACTGCATATATAATTAGTAACGCTATACAAAGGCTGCTTAAAACGATGCTAAGAATCAGAAGGGGTTAGAGAATCCTATAAACATTCTACCCTTACTTATGTTTTATACTGTAAAAGGATTTCCTCTCTGTTACGTGTCAGCTCATGATCAGTGCTTGCATTTTTAGTAGTCAGGAGGGGAGAGTCAACATTTTATTTTAAAAAGCAAAGTTCGTAACAAAACTGAATTTAAAAGCTCCGTTTACCATTCATGCATCCATGCACTCGACAAACATTTATCGACGGGCAATAAAAAGAAAGGTATCGAGGGGGGTCCGGCACGCTGAGAGAACCGCCAATCCGAAGACCGCGTCCGTCCCTCTCACGGTGGAGGAGCTGGCCAGCAGCACCCCCGACGGGCGGTCGGCGCCAGCAGCCGAGGCTGGCATGGGACGCTGAGGGAGGGAGAGGCCAGGCAGGAGATCACAATCTGCCCACGGGCTCAGGCACAAGCACGCTGAGCGGCCAAAGAGCGGGAGTTCAAAGGTTCTGGCTCTGCCGGGCAACGTCGGCGTGACTCTGGACGAGTCCTTTCCAGTGGCCGAGATGCTCCGTCTAGCCAACTGTGATTAACAGGACCGACCCGAGAGTGCCGCTGTGCTAAGTGAGCACGGTGAAGCCACTAGAAAGGCTAGCTGTACTCTTGACTCGTTCAGTCAACAAATAACCATTTTGCGCCCTAGTACGTGCAGGGTGAAACAGTGCACGGGTTATGTGGGTGCGGGCATGGACAGATGGGGATAAAACACAATTTCTCAGTCTCCAGGGAAAGCTGTCAGTCTTTAAGCATCCTGTAATTTCATAGCCATCACCAATGCCACGGAGGTAACTCTTTCCTTGGACACGGCGTGATAACGTCTCAGACCAGGAGGTGAATCCCTCTCCTTCCAAAGAGGGCTTACGTTTTTTAAATCAATAAATTGTATTATATATTAATACACTACGTTCACAAACTGTAAAATGTCTCTGGTTTGGCCCTGCTCTTCAGCACGCTTATCCTCTCTCTCTTCATAATGGCATATTATTGACCCTCCCAAATGAGTCACTCGAACCAGAATGTTAATATAGCCGTGCAGAGATGTAGCAATGTCTCTCTGGAGGAAAATTTACGTGTCCGCTACAGCTACACGCAACAATATTGATGAATCTCAGAGATACAAAGTTAGATAAAGGGGCCAGACGTGAACGAATGCATATCGTACAGGAGTCCATTCGTGTGAGGTACAAAAGCAGGCAAAACTGACGGATGGAGCGAGGAGCAGGGGGAGCGAGGAGCAGGGGGAGCGGCTATCCCTGGAAGGGGGTGCGGGTGGAATAATTACAAGTGCGCACAAAGGGGTTTCTGAGGTACAGGTGCCATTCTGTGTGTTCAGTTCCTGAAACTCAATCGAATTGGACACTTATGGGTCTGTCACAAAAAGTTGCATTTAAAAAGTTTAAAAATCAATCTATTTTTTTTATTTCTGAGGGCAGTTCCCCCTCCAAAAGCACTGCTATTCAAAAAACAATCTGTGGGGCGCCTGGGTGGCGCAGTCGGTTAAGCGTCCGACTTCAGCCAGGTCACGATCTCGCGGTCCGTGAGTTCGAGCCCCGCGTCGGGCTCTGGGCTGATGGCTCGGAGCCTGGAGCCTGTTTCCGATTCTGTGTCTCCCTCTCTCTCTGCCCCTCCCCCGTTCATGCTCTGTCTCTCTCTGTCCCAAAAATAAATAAAAAAAAGTTGAAAAAAAAAATTAAAAAAAAAAAAGAAAAAAAACAAAAAAACAAAAAAACAAAAAAAAACAATCTGTATTTAGTGCACCAAACCTCTACCAAAAAACTCCCTCCCATACACATGCCCTCAGGCTCAACTCTACCTGGAATTTGTAGGACTGACTTAGAAAATTTACTGCACAAATATCTGATTTCAGAGCAGTTTACTTCTGGAAAGGAACTCAGAATTCACCTAGCCTCAAACCCTCATTCGACAGACCAAGGAAGAGGCCCAACCAACATGCTCTAGGCGATGGGTCAAGGTCATCCGGCTGTTTGGTGGGACTCCTACTCTTTCTACCAGACCACAATGCTGTCCTCCTGAGGATCTGTGTCTTTGGAAGTAAACCGTTCTGAATCCACCAGGTGAAATGAATCAACAAAGTCAAAACGCTATTATATAATTTCAAAATTTTTTGCCACCTCATTCTTGAGCTTTGCCAAGTCCTAGGGGAGGACCTCCTAAGTGGTACATAAGATACGGTCAAAGTTAAATTAGTCAGAGTGCACAGTGACTGGTTATTATGTGCTGGAACTTGGGCCTCTGATCAAAATAAACCACGCCTTTTCACTGAAGAGAGCTTGTACTCAACTCCCAATGACAGCAGGAAAGGCCAGAATGAAGGGTGATTCCAGCAATCATCTTGAAAAGAGAACACAGATCAAGAAGGACTTACTACAGACCAGGTGCCACGGAAAAGACCGCTTCCAGTTGTCAAGGCTGAAATACCTTTCCTCAAGGCTGACTATATATTTCCCAAAAGGAGATGTTTTATCACATTTAAAATCATGTGGCTCCTATTGCCTTCTGTATAAACTAGAGAACACCCTGCTAAGTCATCACGTCCTAGGATCACTGACCAAGGAGGAAATCTGTGGATTTTGAAAGCCTTATTCATTATACACAAAAGTCATTTTTACCTTTTTGAGCTAGAACTTTTCTTCGTTTTCTGGTGTAAGTTGGGTTAGCTCAGTGCTATCTAGGCCATTGAGAAAGATGATTTGAATAGCCATTGATTCTTAGCACATTTTCAAGGTGCTAAGCATGGCTGGTGAGATAGCATCAACTGCAAAGAAAACTATCTGCTCGCATTTAAACAGTAAAATCTAGCGGCGCCTGGGTGGCTCAGTCGGTTAAGTGTCTGTTGATTTCAGCTCAGGTCATGATCTCACAGTCGTGAAATGGAGCCCATGTGGGGCTCCGCCCTGACAGCACAGAGCCTGCTTGAGATTCATTCATTTATTCATTCTCTCTCTCTCTCTCTCTCTCTCTCTCTCTCTCTCTCTCGATGCCCCTCCCCTGCTCATGCTTGCATGTATGCTCTCTCTCTCTCAAAACAAATAAACTTAATAAACAAACCAACAAACAAACAAACAAAGATCATCCAAAATCCATCTTGGTCCAGGGCCCCCTTTTGTGGTTGTGGACTCTGATGTACATGGCTGCCACGACATATGCAATGATTGATATTTTTTTTTGACCTAAGTAACAAGAGGTGTGATAATTGTTCCACAAGCCTCCTAGAAAATTTTATGCCTTTGAGAGAAAACAATTAACCCTCAAAAGAGCACGTGACAGACTGACATCTATCTTCTCAGAAGAAACAACGGAAGCCAGAAGACCAAACAAGAACTGTGATATCGTTCACTACCTACAAATCCTCACTGAAACAAATCCTAAAAGATGTACGCAGGCAAACAATGAGATCTGAGATGCAACAAGGAATGAAGGAGAAGGAAAAGTGGTTAATATGTGACCAGGCCCATTCCTAACATTTGTGATATACAGGTTAAGAGTTTGAAAGGAGGTCCGGGGTGAGGCGCCTGGGTGGCTCAGTCGGTTGAGCGGCCGACTTCGG